TTTTCATCTTTTATCTATTTATTTCTTTATACAAAACCAAACAAGAAAAAATTATGTACAGATTCAAATTTTCACTAGAACAGCAGTTGTTAAAAATTTCAGCCTTTTCAAGTAATTCCAGCGGTCTCTCTATCGCTTTCCTGTTTTCCTGAGCAGATTCTTTTCTTTCATGGCCATTGTTCGTAATCTCCTCCAGTACTGCTTTGTGTTGGGGTCCATTTCCCTCAGAGGGGGTGGTTCACCTGGAAAAGGGGCAACTTTTAAGTATTTTGCAAACATATCACATAAAGCCCATGCCTCTATGCTTCAATATGAAATTTAGATATTTGGATAAGCACTGTATACTATGCATTCTGTGAGTAATTCTGAACCTGAATGCTTATGGTAACTATATGCTTTGTATGGCACAGTATTCTATGCACGATTCTGAAGTCTTGTGATTAAGTCAAGCATTTAGTTTGAACCTTTTGCTTTATTCCGAGTAACAAATCATTAAGATAAAGACAAACAATATATATAATAGTCATAAACATTGAAACAGCATAGCCAACTGGTTGAGTTGCCTATTTAAATCACCTAGATAAAAATGGAAATTATCCTTTATCTAATACATATTTCTTACTAATCATTTAATCATGTATAAAGCCTTAACTTACCTGTCCTTAGAGTCCACAGCCAATCTGGGTATTCAGAATCGTCTTTCAACTGGATGTCTTGTGGATTTTCCTTTACTGGGTCTGATCCACAGACAAAGTTTGCTAACTTCACTGGGTCTGTCTCTACTGGAAGACGCTATGAAAAAGAAAATGGTATGAGTGTCAATCCTGTTTAGATGTAAAAACAAAAATTTCACTTCCAATAAATAAAGAAAAAAAGAGAAAAACTCTAATGTCATATATGAGGAATGGTAAAACTATACGAGGTCAGTTAGGCCAAGTAATTGACTCCTCACTAACTAAGAACTTGTTGAGCCATCAATGAGTGTACAAAATTCACAAAGAGAGTAATAATAGTACTCTACAGTGGGTTAAAATACTTACCACTTTCTCAACAGCTGGACCAAGCTTTGCTTTTCCTTTCATCTTGGGCACTGTAACATAAAAAGAGATTAGTTAAACAACATTTAAAGATCCATCATACCCTGATCTGAATGGAAGAGGGAAGGAAATATTGCAAAGTGATATGTGTTTCCCATAAATATGAGGCAAGAATCTTAAGTGTATGTCACATTTCTCTAAATATAGATTTGGGATTCTAAAACAGCAAAATCTTGTAATTGCAGCATCTTCAAATAAGTTAAATCAAAATCTCATATGGATCTGTGGCAAATGAATTAAAATCATAGCCAGACTTGCCCCACAGTGCCAAGGAAGAAGAAGAAGAAGAAGAAGAAGAAGAAGAAGAAGAAAACAAGGACCATCATAACCACAATACAATTTCCAAAGGATTTGTATCAAAACACTGTTATTTCATCAATAAGCAAGACATTTAGCCAATTGTAATGAAATGAAGTTATATCACATTACAGGGTAATAACCTATGTTGCTCAGAGAAAATGACTCAACCCAAAAAGATTCATGAAACTTCTCTTCAAAATTTCTTTTTAGAGTTTGACACTTCTCATATCTTTCTTATATCATACTAATGTTTTCCTTTTTAAATCCTAAGATCAAACATAATCTTAATGTGGAAAATGTAAGAGCTGCTCCCAATAAAATACTGATCTTAGAAGGTTATCATAAAACCCTGCTTCAAAAGTATAAAAAATAGCAAAATGCAGCAGTAGCCCATAATTTGAATGAATCAGTGTTAGCACTAAACATAATATGCATATCACATAAACTGTATAAGATCAGGAATCTGTCTTTAAGCCTGCTCAAGATGACCAATATAATCAAGAGGGGGATCAGGGAAACTGATAAGAATCTAAGGAACAGGCAGCATCCTTGGGAATTAATGGGAGGATACAAGGCTTCCCTGGGAGTGAAGGCTGAAGAGATGACAAAGAATGGCTACACAAGCCAGGAGCTGAACTCAATCTCTGAAAACTTCCCTTGGACTCGGAAGAGGTTAGGTTACAAGCAGGGCTGAAGCAAGATACAAGTCCTATGGTATGTCCTCATTTATACAACCTATAAGGATGTACAAGAGAGAATGTATCATCTCTTGAGTGTCAGTCTCTAAGATAGGATGTCCATGTATCAATTCCAGAGGATATAGCTGGTTTCTTTGATATAACATGTTTCATGACTAACACTCACACACAAATCAGGTCCTTAACCCCTAAAGTCTATTTGTCATGGCCTTGGGGTACTACATAATGTGTAGTGACTCCTATTCACCAAGATTATAGAAAGCCTTTCAAATCCTAGTGTCCTTAGGACTAGCAAGTTTTCTTCACCCACACCCACAATATCACCTATAACTCTACTTCTCTTCTAACTACTCTACTCCCTCAGCCAATCATGCCTCTTTCTGCTTGTGAATGAAACATCTTGAGTGTCATGTGGTAATTATGGTCTGTATGGCATATTACATCCAGCCAAACCCCTTGCTCTTTTCCTTTCCAGCTTTCCCCAATTGAACACCACATTAACATCCAGATGACATTTCAGTCATGTCTTGAGTAAATCTGGTTGAGGGCCAGATGACAGGAATATGGTGTCATTGAAAAATATGGCTAAAGGCTAAGGTGACTGAAATGTGCCATCATGAAAAAAATAGCTGAGGCTGGTATAACAGGAATAACTCGCCATGAGCATTTAGGAAAGGGCTCTTGTAGTATCTCCACCAGTAAACAAGGTTGAAATGTACCATGTGTGAATCACAGCAGGAAGAACACCATTGTGGGGCTTGTTAGCCTTAGTCGGAGCACCAAAGTTGTATAAGCTACTGTGATCACGATAATCATATCAGGAATTATCTAGACCAGGACTGCATGAACTGAGAAAAAATAGAGTAACAGCTATAAAAACTGCATAGACTAATACATGACTAGAGCTGCAGTCACACTGGCAACTAATATAACTGTTGCTGATACCAAGAACATGGAAATGCTGCAACTACATTGCTGCAACACAATGACTACACTGTAATGAGCAGTGAAGGCTATTTTTATGAACAAGTGGCCAGAACAAGACTGACTGCTATTTGAAATATACACATATGAAATGTACTGGTGCAGTCACCTGTTAACCCAATGCTGCCGGGGAAAATGAACAAAAAATGGGGAAAATGCTGTGCCCACTTTCTATGTTTTTTGTGAAATGTCTGCCTGATTTGAAATGGTGGGAAAAACGTATTTTTCACTAATGCTATAAAAATTGATGGTGTTATTTTTATCATAAACATTATAATTATTATAATGTTTTTTTAACATTAGTAAGAGCAAAATAAGATAACGTAAAATATTTCCTAAATCAAAGAAAAGGGTAAATGGGCAAGACGGGCGGTACTCGTAACTGGCTCATTGGTGACTTACTACAAGTATTGCCATCTATGTGTGATAAACAATCAAACAAGTACTCACGGTGGGCATAGCACATACATACACGTCATACCCGTCGGCATTGGGTTAAACAGCATACTGGTAATGACTCTAGCAATTGCTGCAGCAAAAGTCAAAGGCAAACATATATTTTGACAAGAGCTTGCTTTTAGACCTCCCTCCTTAGATAAAATGTCAAATAAAAAAAATGTATCCCAAGCTGTGCCAGTACAACCACGGAGCAGACACCTATTGTATGGTATGTCTTAAATTTATGCCTATATATTATGTATGCATTAGTTACAATTTATTCACTTTGTGATTACTTTCACACATGTTGGCGGTTTGGCAAAAAGAGCCCTATATATTTCTAAACAATCTAACAGGTTACTATGGAGTGACTTATTATTTGATGATAAACTTTCTGGGTGCACTATGTATACATACAAATGTATGTATAAACAGTGCACAGTGCTGTATCATAGCAAAGTCATCCTCCCAATGGCACCATAAAATAATCAGAGTAGCCTGCCTGTTGTGTCAGGATTAATTTCAATGTCACCTGCGCAACTCAAAAACTAGCCTCATTGTCTATGATTTTGGAAAGGCAATCATTGTTTCATAATGAGTTAAAAAACATGAGTCATGGGTCACGGCCAGGAAATTTAATGCCCATACTGCAAAATGACAGGAGCCTTGGTAATTTTTGGTTTCAAACAGCCATCCATCCAAATAAAGTAATAAAGTCAAGCTCTATCCTGCAGAGTATTGGCTACATTGTGGAGGTCTGTTGGCTCTTGCTTTTATAATTCTTGGCCTCTGCAATAACGTCATATTTTCCTTGTACTATATGTATGTCTCAAATTATAGTTTTCACAAAAGGTTAATGTCATCCAGAGCAACGCACAGAGATAGAGGAAAATGGACACTGCCACCTTATAGAGCATAAAAAAAGAATACGAAACAATACAGGTTCATCTGCAGCAGCTACATATTTCCCATGAAATGTCAAAAATGTCTGCTGCATGTCACTGCTCAGAGCCAAGTCCAGAAAACCCTTAATGTCCTTAATGTTTCATTTTCTATTGCTCCATTTTATACATTTTCTATTCACCTGTTTTCTATAATATTCTGTAATATTCATATTTTGTTGAGCATAAGAGTTGCATTTTCAGTGGATGACCCTGGAAATCATTTCCAATTAGTTAGTTATTTTCAGCATTATTTTTTTATATTTCTCATTATCTTTCCTCTCATTTTTGGATGCTACTAGATCTCTTCAGTAGCTTTCTTAAATGTATATGCATTTTTAATTTGTGTTTCCTTATCATTTCTATTATTCATTCTTAACTATTTAATGACATTACTGCTTGATTACCTTAACCCCTTACTGATGGGCCACACTTACCAGCATCATAATAAACTCCTCGGTCAGTGGGGTACAGTTGCACGATATAGTAACACACCAGACCACTAGGAGTGGGCCGTTTGGCTTGATGTAGCGGACTCCCATGCCCAAGAGTGTAGAATTTTTATTTATTTTCTTCACCCATCAGTATTGGGTTAATTGCCTCCCATATCAGAACAACACACACTCAATCACTTGCCTCAGTTTCTTTTAAGCTTTTGCTACGGCACTACCTTCAAACTATTGTGGTCAGTGACATGGGGTACATTTGATTTTATATTTAAATATAATATTATTACTGATCATTACAGTGTTATTTAAAATGATTTTTATGGTAGGTACAGGCAGTTTTTGGAACGTAATGGCTGCCAGGCTAACTTCTTGCTTGATGTGTGTTGGTCACACAGAGCGTTTCTTACGAATCTGCACAGAGCATCTTTCAATTTCCAAACAAGACTATTTGTAATTGTGCAGCTCAACTGTAACCTCCACACGATGGTATGTGTCATAATTTCTTTTCTATAACAAATATTTCACTTGGCATGAAGTGCTAAAAAGGGATGGTACAGAGGGGGGGTGTCTAGGGAATAAATAGAAGGTAGGAAAGTTAGATTAGATTTCTGGGTTTGCATGATACATAATATCTACTTATGTCTGACTAAACAGTTTATTATAATTGCATTGTTCAGAACTTGGCTTGCCTATTCTGAAAATGGACTTTAGGCGCATATCATTTTGTGTTAGTTTACTTAGTTATTTTATTTTGCTTTCATCAAGGTATCCACTCCATACACTTATTTTACTGTACAATTGGTTGACAGATACGGAAAGATCTCACTTATTTTACTGTACTCTTAGTTGACATATTCGGAAAGTTTTCCAAGTTTGGCTAAGGTTTTCGAAACATTTACCTTCCCAGGTTTCATAAATCACTTAATTTGATTACAACAGGCTCCTATTGACATCAGTCTCACCCATTATCCCCCCCTCCTCCCCTAAAATTTCCGGTTCCCCACGCATCTCTCCCAAAATCGTTGAGTAAAGAATAAATATAAAAACAAATCTGATTTTGGAACTCGCTCTCGGTAACAATTACCTCACGAAATATCAGTCCTGGACGTCATATAAAATATTACCGGTAATTAGTAACACATTTAAACCTACCACAGCAAAGTTTCATCCGTTTCCCTTATTCTTCCCAATCTATGATAAAAAACGACTTAATGACTTACTTGCTGGTTTGGCATAATTCATATGTTGAACCTGAGTACATGTTGGAAGAAGATAAGACTGTGGAGACGCTAAATTTAAATAATTCCGAAAGAGACTCAACGCGACTCGTCTGCTGAGCAAGGCCATGTTTACGTTTGTTTCGGATCCAGTACAGTTTGGGAATTTTGGTGAGTTTCGTGTTTACTTTCATTAGGTTTTTCTTTACTTTCATGTTCTGGTTAGAAAAGTTGTGTTAGTTGTTAATATGTGAGATTTATTGGTGGTATTTCGTGTAATAGAGGTTCGTATCTTGCTTGTAATGTTAATTTTGAGCTTACTAGTTACTAGGCATCATGTCAATAAACTGTGTCGGAAAGGTTTATTTTTGCATTTATATATTTATATTTTTCGAAATCGCTGATACACAAGATAAAAAAAGACAAATATATGTAATTGAACACAACAAAATTATACATTTCATTTTCATAATACATTTCACAGTCCCTATATAACTTCTGATTACATGTGTTTGAAATGTTTTGAATATGATACACTTTTTTATTCTCTTTATTTTCTATTTTCTCTTTTCCATCTCCTTCTTCGACTTCTTTACGTATGATCGTTCAGCAATGTGTCATGGATTTCCAATGAATCCATCTCAAATTGCAGTCTCTTTATAAATGATCTAATGCGATAATCTAATGGGTATTTAAGAAACATTTGATATTATAATTTGAGAATAGTATATTTCATATCAATTACTCAATATATTTTCTTCGTTTTACGTAAATTGTATTAAAATCACCTTCGGAATAACTCCTTTAATTAAACATATCAAGAATTTGATCTGGCAGCTTTTCATAAGGGCAAACTGTTGTCATGGCAACGTGTCAACAAAGTAGTGACGCAATCACGCAACCGCAGTGTATGCAAGGACTTCCGACAGTATATCGTTGTCACTGCCTTTAATATTCCGGCGTAAGTCTGACTATCCGGAAATGGCCAGGAATTCGTATCATTCATGTGTCCGGGTCGGGAATTGGTACGAAAATAAGCTGATGGAAGAGGTAAGAGATGAAAAAAATAAGTTTGCATGGTTATGTTGCAGTGGTGTCAATGACCTCGTGGGTATGTTTGCAAACTTGTAAATTGTGAATGTAATCCTGTAATGGAGTGTATGTGTATGCTTTTTTTTTTACTTTAGAATTTGAGTTTAAAACATGTGTTCCTGATATTGTCACGTATATTCTTTTAAATATGCAGTAATTACGGTTTTTCATAACATATCATCATATCATTGAATTGAAATGACAACATTCAGTAATTGATGTAGTAATTAAATCCATCAAAGATAAAGACAGGTAAGTGTCATCGACTGAAAGTATATATTTTT